CAGCACCCAAACACACAGCACCCAAACACACAGCACTCAAACACACAGTGCCCAAACACTCAGCACCCAACACTCAGCATCCAAACACACAGCACCTAAACACTCAGTGCCCAAACCCACAGCATCCAAACAATGCTGAAACAGTCAGCACCCACTCAGTGCCGAAACACTCAATACCCAAACACTCGGCACCCAAACACTCAGCACCCAAACACACAGCACCTAAACACTCAGCACCCAAACACTCAGTGCTGAAACACTCAGCACCTAAACATGAACCATGAGCTGCATTTCAGGTCACCTGACTGCCTTGTAGGAATTAAAACCAGAGATGTGCCCCCGCACCATATGCATAAACTGAGGGCTCAGTCATTGGGCTGCTGCCCTCCCTGTCCAGGGTAGGTGGACAATGTCCTGTCGCTGGCTGGACACTGCACACCTTTCCCACAGGGCCCCTCCCATGGAGACCTCTGCTTCATCTGCATTGCGTGGGGAGGGCAGGGACCACAGCCCTCAGTGGCCGGCACACTCGGCAGGTGCTCTGTGGGTGTCTGCTGTGGAGTGGATGAGGGAGGGGAGGCTGATGGCTCTCGGGGGACCGTCCTGCCTCCGCTGCCCTCCACACCCATTCCCTCCACCTGCGGCCCTCAGGGAAGTGCTCTGGAGGGGCCCTGCATCTGAGCCCTCTCTGCCCCACTGTTTCACACGACGCCTGGATGTAGACTAAGGCCACGGCCGTTCACCTTCTGCAGGGCGCACGCGTGGGTGAGATGCTGTGACGGACAGGCTGGATTACAAGCAGGGACTCGTGAGCTGAGCATCTGTGGGGAGCGTGATCCTGGTGGACGGGACGCCTGGGCAGCTCTCCTTCGAGAAGCAAGCCCCAAAGAGTGGGATGCCCCAGGGCAGGTTCTGTGTCTCCTCAACGAGCAGACTGGAAATCCTTCACACTACTGTGAAATTGGCCACGACTACTTACGGAAAACCACTGTTTTTCTGGAGGTGCAATGAATCATGCCCTTCCACATTTCACTGTCACTTTTATCACCTGGATCTTTAAGGACAGGCTGAGAGCCTGAAGCTCGGAGACGAAGCTGGGTGTGTAGGGGAGGGGCCACGTCTCCAGCAGGTGCAGCTCATTTGTCCCTAAAGCCTCTGGGAGCGAAGCGCACCCCGGCAGCAAGGCTGGCTCCTGGAGGCTCTGCCAACATTAAACACGACCCCCTCTTCCTTGGCTCAGTTTTAGTGTTTCGTATTTTAAGTTATTGGATCATTATATTAAATAGAACAAATTGGAAGATCCTAGCTGAGTGAGAAGGTGCTAATGATGTACACAAACACATACTCTGAATAAATATAATAGCAAATTAAATTTTCTCTAAATTGGAGCTGACCATTTGTATTAAAAGCTGGAGAAAGGTCTAAAATAAAAACTTTATTTTAAAAGATGGGGGTAAGTATAAATGGTAACTGGATGAAGAATTTGGGATGGAGGCTGTCAGGTCAAGTCTTTTTGTAAATTACTCAACAATAAAGTAATCCTAAGAGTGTAGTAAGTTTCTATGTAATATGAAAACAATATTGCTTTCTCTGGGCTGACCTGGATGAACTTAGGAACAGATATGTGTGATGACCACAGCATTGTAGTCTGGAGATAGAAAAAGAGTTCACTGGTTTCTGAGTTAATATTCTTAGAGACTCACAAAATAATCAATGCATATATTTACCAAAGCAGCTAAGGCCCACAGGACACACTGGGAACTCTGTAGAACTGGGTACTTTGGGGAACTCTGTTTGAAAAACCCTCCCCAAGTTCAAATCACCTTCCTTAAGGTCTGCTCCAAGCCACACTGATCCAGCTTGACATTATATATTTAATTTCAGAGCAGCTGAAACCTCGCCAATTACACTCGTCTGACCGCAGCCAAAAAGCAAACACAAGTTTACATAAAAATGTGCATTTGAAAGTCTGTTTGTGTCTCAGCATTAACAGATGAGGAAAACTTTGGAGCCGGAATCAGAGACGCTGGACCGGGTGAGGAAAGCAATGGGTGTGGACCCCGTTCCCGTGGACGTTCAGATATGAGTGCTCGGGATGGCTGCTGCTATGTGCGTGAGGCCATCGCTCCTAAGACCAATTCTAAACCACAGCGCGGCCGTTTGGAGACTGGTCCCCTAGCAAATGTTCCTCTAGAAAGCCTGGGAGAAAACACAGGGAGAATCTGCACACACACTTCCAACCGCACTCCCACTCCAGAATGTACAATAGTCTCCATGAATTTCACAGGAAGCAGATCTGGAGAACAGGTGTACATTCCGGATCCTGAGATTGGACTCAATGACATTTGGGCGGGGACTACTATGAAAACAGGATAGTCTGTTGATTGATTGATGGCAGGGAGCTCGCCGTCTCTCCCACACTCACCCCACAGCTCAAGCCAACCCCCAGAACCTCCCCCCGGCTTCTCAGCAGACGCTAGCAAAATTCTGCCAAGGTTCTGCCCAGCGTTGGTTGCATCTCACAGATTCGGAGCCATGTGAACCGAGCTCACATCAAGAGCTGAGGAGTATTCAGTTGTTTTTCTGGTCAACTTGTTAACCGGCTCCCTAAGGACCAGGACCCTGAAGGGGCGTGCATGTTTACTTTGCAATCAGTGCAAAACCTCACCCTGCAGAGGTGGAGAGTAGAGGAAAGATCACTGGAGACACAGCTGCAGGGACACAGGAGGTGATGGAGTAAGAAATGGAGGGAGGCTCCCAGGCA